CATCGTGCCAATCACAGAACTCTAGGACTGCATGTCCAATCTTTTTTCTGCCACTGCCAAGAGATACTGAGACACATCACACATATTGTATGTGGCCTTTGGAGGAAGCAAAACATCTCCATTTGCAACCCATTCAGCTAAATCCCCCCGCCCAACTCACAATATTGCTTTTTGTGCTCTTTCCTAAGGTAAGTATAGAAAGAGGCCACATATCAAATGAAGAGGAGAAATATGCCGAAAACACAATGATGATGGTTGCTTCCTTATAGGATATTTCAGATTAACAAAGTGGCACCAAACAGGTGTGCTAAGAATTGTACAGAAATGAGACCTCGGTCTTGGGCAATTTGTGTCATAGATTAACTTGACATTTTATGCAGGAAAATAATACCATTAACTGGGTTGTTGTGAGTTTTCTGGGCGGTATGGCCATGTTCCAGAATCATTCTCTCCTGACGTTTCGCCCACATCTATGGCAGGCATCCTCAGAGGTTGTGAGGGCTGTTGGAAACTAGTTCCCAACAGAGTTCACGACCTCTGAGGATGCCTGCCATAGATGTGGGTGAAATGTGAGAAGAGAATGCTTCTGGAACATGGCCACACAGCCCAGAAAACTCACAGCAATCCAGTGATTCCAGCCATGAAAGCCTTCGACAACACGATACCATAACTGCCAATGGGATCCTATCATTACAGAGCATGATTTGGCAAAAGTCTTTGGTTTCTCAACAGACAAGGACCAGGATGCTGTTAGTGATATGCACACTTAAGTGTGGCTTATGTGTGCATAATCTCTTTCTGAATACAACATAAGGTGGTATCCTCCCATCTTTTGTACAACATTGAAAACCTGAAGAGCATTGGCCCACTGAGTGATATCAACAACCAAATTTAATGAATTGCTGTTGGTTTTTCGGGCTATATGGCCATGTTCTAGAAGCATTCTCTCCTGACGTTTCGCCTGCATCTATGGCAGGCATCCTCAGAGGTTGTGAAGTCTCACCAACTCGAGGATGCCTGCCATAGATGCAGGCGAAACGTCAGGAGAGAATGCTTCTAGAACATGACCACATGGCCCAGAAAATCTAGAACAACTCAGTGATTCCGGTCATGAAAGCCTTTGAGAATAAACCAGATTTAAGTTGTGCCTATCAGTTATTTCACTTTTGCCTTTTAGATAGACATTAGACGATGCTTCTGCCAACAGGTTGAAGGCACTGGGCCCGCTTCCTACACAGAGCAAGGATGCCATTAACTACTTTTTTTTTGCAAAGGAAGTCAACTGTATAGTTGTTTGCAACTTTATTAATAAAAATATTTTATGTGTATTCAAGATTAGTTCTAACTTAAGAACTGCCTTTTCTACCTTGTTTGCCACATAATCCTTCAGGTCCACAACTGCGTATTGAAATGTGTCTGAACGGAGGAGGTATGCCAACACAACTGCAGCCACTTGCCTCCATTTTTTCTTGGTGCAAAGGGATAGAAAATGGGTTTAACTTTTGCCATGGCTTTCAACTGTCTACTAGTATGTATTTTCAATGCAGTTATGTATCCATATATAGAAAATACTGTGCGAAACAGCTGTCAAACTCTGCGAATATGCAATACAGCAACCTGTAAAATAGTTTAGCGTTACAAAGAAAGGGTTGTATTTCTGATTGTCTTTGCTCAATATAATTTGGCACAATTAGGAGAAACATGTACATATACCACAGGAACACTTTCACATGTTCAACACACATCTCGGGTTCCCAGCCAAGATAACCAAAATGTCCATATATTTTAACAATTCACTTTTTAAAAAAAATCTGAACAAAATTTAAAAACATGCTTTAAACATGCAGTTTAAAAAGACAAGGAAAAGAGAAGTCTTCATTATAGGCATTCAAAAGTCAAGCACATAATCAGTAATCCAAACCAGCAAAAGACCCTTCTACCTAACAAGGCTTGGTATAAAAATACGTGTTCTCTTTGTTGCTCTGCTTGGAAATACCTTTTCAAACCAGGTGTTCCCTTACGCTTTTTAGAACTTGTGCTCTTCCTTAAAATTTTATACAGTGTAGAAGAACACATTATTACTACTCGATATTTGTATTTCGTTTCTAAGAAGCAGATGTGTGATAGAGGCTGTGGCAAAGTCTTGAAGGAATTCAAGCTTGTGTGAGGTTTGTTCGAGCCTGAAAGAAAAAGGGAAGAGGCACCAATTAGGAAAAATCACCACCACCATCATCACTTCCAGGAATACTGGGGCATGTCCGGCCTTAATCCAACTGTTCTTCCCAAGCAGAAGGAGCCCCAGGTGGCACAGTGGGTTAAACCCTTGTACTGGCAGGACCGAAGACCAACAGGTTGTAGGTTCGAATCTGGGGAGGGTGCGGATGAACTCCCTCTGTCAGCTCCAGCTCCCCATGTGGGGACATGAGAGAAGCCTCCCACAAGGATGGTAAAACATCAAAACATCCAGGTGTTCCCTAGGCAACGTCCTTGCAGATGGCCTATTCTCTCACACCAGAAGCGACTTGCAGTTTCTCAAGTTGCTTCTGACACACACACAAATCCCAACTAGAGTAGATACATCAAAGCAATGAGAATTAACAAGTAAACACTTGGGTAAATGTTACTGATGCACAGTTGATCTACTCTTGAAAGAATTAATAGTTGCATTTATGCATCTGGGTACATTCAGCTTACATTCCTAAACACAGATACAGACAGAAAATCGGCCTTCTAGGTTTCAAGCATAAAGGATAGCCTCAAAAACACCAAAGCAGTTTTTTCACCATCAGAAATTGCTGGCACTTGAAGAAAGTGGCCCAACGGTGTATGTTACCCCCTCCTGCACAGCCAGTAGTTTTGAGTTGGGATGGCCACTGTGGCTAAATGAAAAAGAGGTGCGGGATGGTGCTCTTCCAATATGCTCCCCATCATCCACCAGGAAACAAATATTAATGTAGGCAAGGCAGCCACATCTTAGCAAGGTCAACTGTCTATTGTAGTTCAAGAAGACCCCAAAAGGAAACTGTGGGTTGGGGGCATAAAGCCTCCATTCCATGTACTCCAACCCCCCTGGGTGTAAGGGTTCTTTGCTCCAACTGTGTTGCTATGAGTTTAGTCTTTTGCGGAAAGAATACGTCAAGAAACACAGGGACTTTTTTTCGTGTCAGGAGCAACTTGAGAAACTGCAAGTTGCTTCTGGTGTGTGAGAATTGGCCATCTGCAAGGATGTTGCCCTGGAGAAACCCAGATGTTTTACTCTTGTGGGAGGCTTCTCTCATGTAACCGCATGAGAAGCTGGAGCTGACAGAGGACGCTCATCCACGCTCTCCCCGGTCAGTCTTCAGTTCTGCCGGCACAAGGGTTTAACCTACTGCACCACCGGGGGCTCCACAAGGGCTGAATATCTTTATTGTTCAGAATACAAGAGTCTGGGACTACTGCACATCTATATAGGGCCTTAGCTACAATGTCATAAATCATCCAAAAGCTTTCTTGCCTGCCCTTTCCCACATACCAGAGCCCACCTTCTCACCCCTCAGGGCAATTGACTTTTATGGCCAGTTTATGTGTCATGTCAGCACCCTGTCCTCCCTTTTGGCCATCAGCCATGTGCCCTATGTCAGTACCAGGGGCTCATAGTTGCATGGTATGAGTGATCAATACACTGGGTCTACTGACCTATTCTAGGCCACTTCCAAGAGCAAAGCAAAACCTTGCTGAAAGGGGCAAAGGGCATTTTTAAGGGGAGAAATTAAGTTACACATGTTCTTGCCTGAGAAGGTTTACATTCCTATGATTCTATAGTGGTACTGCATGAGGTTCAGCATCAATCTGCAGATTATCCGCAGAGTAACTGATCTGATGAAAAACAGGTGGGGAATCCACTCTGGATATAACCACTCCTTGCAGCGGCTTCAATTTGGTCAGGAGCTCTGTCCTTGTTGAAAGAGGGCACACTACCAGTAGGGATCCCATTCAAGTCTAGGCAACTGTGAGGAAGGCATGGCTAAATCCAGAGTAGAAACTGGAAAATCATGTACTCACTTAAGCTCTGTTTAGTCAATGGACATACTCTATTTAGGATTTAGTTTCTTAGATCCACTACTTTTAAAACAATCTTAGTGCTGTCTTACTATAGTAGCAAGAGGCACACTCAGTTCACTGTCAGGGCATCCCACACAGATACTTTCTGTGTTTCTGTGTTATTACTTATTTATTTATATTCCACCCTTCTCACCCTGAAGGGGACTCAGGGCAGATCACAGAACGGCAAATATTCAATGCCGATTATACAATAACAAGACAGACAACAGACAGACAGACAGATATATACCCCCCCCATCTTTCAGCATCTTTGGAGGTTGTGCTTGGTTCCAGCCACAGGGGGGTGCTGTCGTTTCATCACCTTGTCGAAGAGCTTTCTTTGTTTGTAAACTTTCCTCCTTTTTCTTATCGAAACTCCAGTGCATAAAATACCTCCCTGCTTAATGTGATTCCTATTTATCTACTCACATTGCTGTTTTTGATCCGTTAGGTGGGCGGGGAGCTGGGCTGAAGGTCAGGAACTCACCCTGACCCGGCTTTGAATGATCAACCTTTTGGTTGACAAGATTTAATGCAGCTGTGGCTGGTGATTAACCTGCTGTATTAAATCACTGAACATGTATCTTGGCAGTGAGAGACATGCATCCAATTAATTCTACAAAGGTAAAGTAACACCCATTTTCTGCACCTTGCAAATGCTACTGGCTTCAACTCAGTGGTGCAGAGTTGCCTTTGATACCATTTCTGGCAAGGTGTTGTTTCTGTCTAGCATGGTCAGTTTGTACTAAAGGAAGTCATAGACCAGCAACATTACACAGCAGTTACTCATCACCGTCAAGACATAAATGGAAGGGCACTGCTTTACTATGAAGATGGACCAGCTCGCACAAACCATTATATTTACTACACAGCCTCAACTTACCCACCACACTGTAAATCTGAAGATGAAGGTAAGATGCCAGTAGCGACTCAGGAAGAACGCATTAATACCCACAAGACAGATTGTAGCCGCCATCACACACCTGGTACCTGCAAAAAGACAAACACCATCAGAGAGGCTGAAGTGCTTCTTTAAAGCAAGAACCACGGCCAAGAATGTATGTGTGACTCGGTGAACTTCCCAGGTTCTCTTGCTTTGAACACTCCTCATTTGGGAAGCAGAGGAAGGAATCTACACAAACCCTAAACTCATTTGTACAATGCAGCTTCTTTAATCACACCCTTCGATCCTGCAAACGGTCAGGAGGATAATAAGAAACAACCTTGTCATCACACATAAGCGCTGGAATATGGAAAATAAAACCCATAAAAGAACATTTGCTGGATTGTAAAGCAGAATGTCAACTGCATGTCCACAATATCATCCCACTAACACAGCGTGGTAAAAATTTTTGTTTTCAAATACCATAAAACTAAACCAAATGGTCATAAAAAGCTAAACTTGTCAAAATGACACAGTTGTCTCCCTCCATAATACCTAATCCACTTAATTTAGCATGATGTCATGGACTGAAGGGGCAAATTCCTCGATACCCATGAAACTCGCAACCTGGCTTTGGAGCAATTTCCTTCAGCCCAACTTTTCTCTCAGGAGTGTCTGTGAGGATCAAAGAGGCAGCAGGGGAGTATATATTAGTGGCCACCATAGGACATTGGACTACACTTCGCATTACCCTCAGCCTATACACCCAGCAGTAAAGGATTATATGGGTCAGGGTACAATGTCTAGTAGGTCCACATTTCCATCTCTGATTTATACCTTAGTCAATGTCCTGGAAGAACTGCCCAGAATTCAGGTATCATAAAGCAAATTATAAACAACCAATAGTAAAAAAAAAAAAAAAATGGGTTCAAGGCAGCCAGTCCAAACCAACCCATCGGTTATCAAACTGAAAAGGAAAAACATTTACAGTGAGTGGAGAAATGTAAGCAAGACAGCAACCAGACAGCTCTCTTGGAACAAAAGATGGGTGCACCTGCAGGGACAGTCTTCCCCGGGGCTTCTGCTAATGGCACTTTTGGCATGGGGGGATCCCCAGATGTGCCAAAAAAGTTCCGTGGATGCTGTGGATGGCTCAAAAGATAAACACATGCATCCTAGAACAAATCAGCCTTGAGCTCTCCCAAGAAGCCAAGATGACTAAATGTAGACTCCCATACTTTAGCCATATTACGAGAAGACATGACTCACTAGAAAAGATAATAATACTTAGTAGGAGACAGAAGGGAAAAAGGAAGACCACATTCCAATGGATAGACCCCACCAAGATAGTCAAAGCCTTGAATTTGCAAGACCTGAATAGGGCTAATGATGATGGGGCAGAATTCAAAACGATCTTAACAGGCTAGAGAGATGGGACAAAACTAAGAAAATGAAGATGGGACAAATGCAAGATACTCCACTTAGGCGGAAAAAATGAAATGCAAAGATACAGAATGGGGGATGAATGGCTCAACAGCAGTACATGTGAAAAAGATCTTGGAGTCCTCGTGGACAAGTTAAACATGAGCCAACAATGTGATGCGGTGGCAAAAGAAGCCAATGGGATTTTGGCCTGCATAAATAGCAGTATAGTGTCTAGATCCAGGTAAGTCATGCTACCCCTCTATTCTGCCTTGGTTAGACCACACCTAGAATACTGTGTCCAATTCTGGGCACCACAATTGAAGAGAGATATTGATAAGCTGGAATGTGTCCAGGGGAGGGCAACTAAAATGATCAAGGGTCTGGAGAACAAGCCCTATGAGGAGCGGCTTAAAGAGCTGGGCATGTTTAGCCTGCAGAAGAGAAGGCTGAGAGGAGACACAATGGCCATATGTGAGAGGAAGTCATAGAGAGGAGGGAGCAAGCTTGTTTTCTGCTTCTCTGGAGACTAGGATGCAGAACAATGGCTTCAAACTACAAGGAAATTCCACCTGAACATTAGGAAGAACTTCCTGACTGTGAGAGTTGTTCAGCAGTGGAACTCTCTGTCCCAGAGTGTGGTGGAGGCTCCTTCTTTGGAGTCTTTTAAACAGAGGATGGATGGCCATCTGTCAGGGGTGCTTTGAATGTGATTTTCCTGCTTCTTGGCAGGGGGGTTGAACTGGATGGCCCATGAGTTCTCTTCCAACTAGGATTCTATGACTCTTGGTCATCATATGGGCTGTTCTAAATTACAACAACAAATTGCCAAATGACAGCTAGCAGGAAGTGGTTAGTTAGCAACTAGATTTTATGCCATTTGATCTAGAAACGTGATTCATCCACACCATTCTACGCTCTGAGTAGAGAGAGAGAGAGTACCTCCCAAAATGCTAATTTCCTGGTTCTCATTTTTGCTGAAATAATGTTTGGATGACTTGGGTGAGAAGTAATTATATTCTGAGGGTTTCCACCCTCCCCAAAGGCTTCCTGGGAAGTGCCCCTGTCACAGCTGTGATTCCTTCTCCATCTTACGCAAAGGCTGAGTTTGCAAATGGTTTGGAGGCCTGGTAACACCCCTCAAAATAACTGAACTTTTCTCAGAGGACACCAGTTGTTGACCTCTGCCCTCTTCTGTTCTTTTCAGGAAATGGAGGAGGCCTGCACAGAAAGGAAGGCCTATTTCATCATTATAATGGCATGTGTCCTTATTTTCCCTCCAGCAACTGCAACCAAGGGTTATCCACTCTGTTTTTGTTGACGTTTGCTCACATCTTGCAGGCTTGAAGAGAACATATTCTGTAGGATTCTTGGGGGAGATCAGAGGAGATGTAAACAAGACAAACAGATCCTCAAAAGTTGTCTTACATGAGATAATGCTTCTAGAACATGGCCATGCAGACCAAAAACTCACAGCAACTCAGTGATTCTGACCATGAAAGCCTTCAACAACACATTGTCCATACTTTCTTTGTAGATTTTCCCTTTGTCTATCAGGATTCACCTTGGAATGCCTGTTCCTCCCTCTTGATTTGCAGGAGGCTGTTTTGGGATGTCAGAACTGAGCACCCAACTTCACTATTAGTATACACAACTGTCCTGAACAACAGCTCGTTTTCCAGTAGTCATCTTCCCATGTGATGCCCTGACATAGAAAGACCGTTGGCTGCATGCTGGGGTGCATTCAATTTGTACATGCTATAATCCTGGCAGTGAGAAGATTGGTGCATTTTTGGATGTTGGAAAAGGATATATTCTTCAAGCCACCCGCTGACTTCTGGAAACTACATGAATCTTACTTGGTTTTTTTAAGGTAAGGAATACTCGGATGTGATTTTGCCAGTTCCTTCCTCTGAAATATAGCTTACAGCATCAGGTTTGTTGATGATCTCCCATATAACCAGGGCTGATCTTAGCTTCCAGGAGCTGATGTCTTTAGGAATGTTAGGCCTGTCTTAGTACAATCACCATAGTACAATCACCACCTGGGCCTGTGGCCGCTATATGAGTCCTGTCTGGCCCGGCGTGAGTCTGATCACGGCCGCCGTCGCGGCCGCCATCTTGCCTGCTCCCAGGTCCTATTGCTGCTGCGGCCGAGAGGGAGGCACGCCGAGACCGCAGACGGCTCCCTGGGGAAGGTACTCGCCAGCGCTGCCGGCCTCTTGGCTGGCTGACTGCCTGACGGCCTGGGTGTCTCCTGCCGACGGTCTCGCCGACGGCCCCGCCGCAGCCTGGGCCTAGGGCCACTGCGTGAGTTCCATCTGGCCCGGCGTGATTACTATCGTAGCCGTCACGGCCGCCATCTTGTCCTCCTCCTGGTTCTATTGCTGCTGTGGCCGAGAGTGAGAGTGAGAGTGAGGCACGCTGAGTGCAGCCGGGGGGAAAGACGCGCCGCGAGACTCCCCGGCGAAGATACCATCAGTTGCTGGTGAGGATTTCTTCAAGGGTGGGGATTCCCCGGCAAAGTCATCACCAGTTGCCGGCGAGGATTCCGCCAGGGGCCGAAGCAAGCTGCTGGGCCACGGGCCAATTTGGCCAAATCGAGCTGAAGAGAGACGGTCCTTTACCGTGTGACTTCGGCCTGCGGCCTAACCATCTGGGCAGGTCCGTCTCCTTCGGCCGCTGGGCCAACCAGGCTCTCCACCATCGCCTATCCTGCCCGGGCCCTATTGCCCTTCCACCTGGCCCTCACCACTAGCCGAGCGGCGGCCCCCCCCTCCTCTCTCATTTCTCTCTTTTCAACTTTTATGGTGCGGCCGGGTAACTTACTGTGTAGATCGCTGTAGACCATTCTGTTGACCAACTCTGTGCAGATTGACTTGTATAGATCCTGTTGAGGCGAGCCGCTCTTGTGTAGACCGACGGTTGCATTTTGTGTAGACCGAACGGTTCTATTGTTGTGTAATTCAATCTGAATTATAGACCATCTGAGCCGACCGCCATCGTGTCGACCATCTCCGGAGATCCATCCGCTACTTACATCAAACGTCTGTTATTTACATCTGAATCGTAGCACTTTATTAACTGCCAGTCTCCCGACCACTGTGTACATTTTGCGAACATTGCACAATATAGTCCATCCTACCTCTGCTGCTAATGTGGTAATAAGAGCATATTATAGCGCTTAGTGGCGCCTGTTCTGTAGCCAACTGTTTGCACTTTACTAACTGTTGCACTCCACCCCTCCCAACTCCTCCTGCCGCACTTTAGTAGTATAGAGGGCCAAATATTTTCCGTTGAGGCTATTGCACTTTAATATCTTGTTGCACTTTAAAAACCCTATACCTTAAGAACTACCCGGTAGCCGTGGAATTGTACTTTGCACTTTAAGACTTCAGTATTTAGGGATTTCCCTATTTCGCGGCGAACGCTTGCCCCCGGTATTCCTGCATTTACCAAAGTGTCTATTACCATTCATGTGGTCCTCCACCCTCCTATGCTTACTGTCTCTGTTACTATTATCCGGCGGAAGGGGCAGGGGAGGTAGTGGGTGGGAGCCTGTGGGAGACAATGAGGGGGGGAGGGGGGATGAAGAAGGCCAGCACAATTGGCAAGACAAAACGCCGACATCCCAAACAGCTGGTGAAATTGTGATTAAGACCCTAGCCAGGAATAGCGGCATGGA